AAACTGCCCCCCCCCCCCCCCCCCCCCCGGGTTTGGTGGGGTGGGGGGGCAAAAAAGGATTGGGGAAGCCCTTTTTTGGGGTCCCCCCCCCCCCCCCCCCCTCCCCCCCGGTGTTTGCCATCGGGGTTGGATTGTCGTCGCTTGGCAACGACGTTGTAAAACAAGCCGTCCCCCCTGATGTTTGCCATCGGGGTTGGGTTTTCGTCGCTTGGCAGCGATGTTGTATAACAAGCCCATCACTTCGTGAGCTTGGCAACCAGGTTACCGGGTTCTTTTTTGCCTTTTTTTTTTTTGCGGTAACCATGAATGTTGGTCGAGTAGATCATGTTGTGCGGGGTCGAGAAACCTCACTCCGCGCAAAGGGGATAATCGCACCACGTTGTGTTAAATTGGTCAAGCACCCTCGAGGCAGTTACACAGCGCTTACAACTGTCTCTGGAAGTGAAAGCACCAGAAAATAAATTAAGTCATACGCAGCTGTCATCCGTACGCAAGGAAGTAAGCACAAGGTGCCGAACACCCTTAGCAGGATGCAGTTCACCCTTCATGCGACTCGCCGAATACCTCACGGCGCTTCGCGCTTGGTGATGTGAGAGCCTGGTCCGGTGAGAACCCGGCGTGCTCCGTCCCGGCTTTGTAGGGATGCGAGGTCAATGGTCAAACGACTACGGCATGCACGACTATGAGTACACCCCCCCCCCCTGTCCCCGTTCCTCTGCCAGATGACGGAGAGTTGGAACGTCCTAGAGCAAGACCATACTCCGGCACCAGCAAGCACACGGGCAGACTGCTGGCTGCCGTACGCCAAAGTCAACCCCCTCGCTGTGGGGGTGAATCCACGTCTGCTCAGACGTCACATCACCCAACGGTATATATATCCCATTCGGCGCAGTCAAACGCAAGAACGACAGCCGGTCGATTCGTGCTTCCTCGTGAAAACCCCACAGCCTAGGCCGACCAAAGCCCGGCGTAGCGCTCCACTCCCGTGTTGTACGGGGGGGGATGCAAGGCAAATCAATTTTCTGTCGACGCGCTCATGTGAAAAAAATCAACCGAGGTCTCCCCAGTCTATCGTCCAACGACATTGTGACATGCATGATCGTGATGATATCCCCCCCCCGTCCCTACCTCAGCATGTCGCTCCGTCCCGGCATTGTAGGGAGGACAATGGCCTAACGACTACGGCATGCATTTACACGAATACATCTCCCCTCCTCTTTTGCCAGCCCTCACCTGGCACTCCCGCGCCTCGGTACCATGGCCATATCCCCGTACAACTCCTCCAGATCGGCCGCCTTCACCATGGAAGACACCATGGCCACCGCGCCCCCCATCCCCATGAGCTGCAGCGATCTGTCCTGCTCCAGGTCCTTCTTGCTGGCACTGGCACCCTCGGACCCTGCTCGGCCTTTGGCTACCTGCGTGCCCCCCGAACGTTGTTCGTGGGCAGGCCGAGGGAGGGAGGGAGGGCCACAACGAAGAGATTTACGGAGAGAAAGCTAGGAACGAATCGAACCAAGAGATTGTTGCCGCAAAAAATAAACACTGTAAGGTTCGCACTGCAAAACTATGTCGTAGGCCTTTGGGATTCACCTTCAAGCGGTGCTGGAAAACGCCTAGGGAAGCTTCCGTGAGAGAGGTGGGGGGGAACCGTCAATGGAAACGGATCAACACTCCTTTTTACTGCGTCCCATTTACACACCGATCTTCTGACAGACTGTAGCACAGAAGACGCCTGAGACCGCGAGAAGGAATTTTTTGGCTATACTAGTTTAGGAGTCAGGAGATACAAAGATACCCCCCCCCCCCCCCGCCCGACCCCTTCCCACCCTCTCGAAAACTGTAGTCTCATACTATAGCCCCACCCACACACGCACACACCTTGGCTAAAGCTGTGGCAATCCTTTTGAAGAGGTCGATGGCCTGGAGGTCGCAGTCGTAGTTGATGAACATTTCCACCAGGGCGAGGGGGTCCCGACAAAGGCCGGAGATGACTTCCAAAACCAGCATCTGGTTGTTGTCATCGTCGTTGTCGTTGTGAACGTTGTCGTTGTGAACGTTGGTGGTGGTAGTATTGCGTTGGGTGGCAAGTAACGTCCCCACACAGACAAGCAGAGGAGACAGGAGAATGGGAGGGGGCGAGGGAGAGAGACGCGTGAGGGAACAAATAATCTCAAAGAGCAGGGCGCCACCAGCAACAGAAAAAGGCTGCAAGGGCGCCACCGTCAAGCGTGAAAACACATTTGGAAACACGAAGGGAATAAAATACCCCAACATACGAATCCCCTCGCCCCCTCCCCCGAATCAGAGTCGTACCCGTGGTTCGTGGAAATCAACGAATGAAATGTGGAGAATTTCGTGGCACCCATTTACAGATATTTGGCTCTTGAATTTGTGCAAACCTTGTGATCGAACGCCGAGTGCTCGCTCTCCAGGATGCGCAGAAAGATGGACGTGATGAACACCTCGATCTCCGCCTTCAGATGGTTCTGGAATCCCACAACCCCAAAAAACAAAAAAACGTACACGGGGGGGCGCCGCAGCAGTGATGGCAGAAGGGAAAAAAAAACACAAACAGCTGAGAAGAAACCGTGGGAATTTTGACACGTCAAAATAATTGGCTGCGGGTAGGGAATACAACTGAGAAGACAGTTGATGAGTACAAACCGGTGGGTGTTGTCAACGCGTGTGCCAAAAGCTTGTCGTCGGTGCTAGGGCGTGTTCCTACCGCAGCACCTCCTGTGGCGTTCTTGCTCCGCTGCCACGCCTGCCTGTCGTGCCAACGTTTGCGCCTCACCACACGCTGCAGCACACCACACGCGTGCACGCCTTGTATCGTTCAACCCATCCTACACAGAGGATGGCGCGCATCATGCTACAACTTCGGATCACGCACCACGAAACAAAAAACCAGCAATAACCCTCCGTTGTCCGTCGCCCCCTTCCACTCTTACGACGCCTCTACATCCCGCGATGCTATCCTCTCGTACGCCAATCCCCTCGCCGATACACAAAGAACAAGCAAGACGTCACTCCTTTCTCGATGCCTCAAATCCCAGCTTGTCCCACGAACCGCCAAATTCCTCCTCCGTTCCGACTTCGTAGAGATACGACAGGGGCCCTATGGTCCCGGACACTCCATAGTACTGTACACGAACAAGAGTCCCATCCCCCCCCCCCCCACCGATACACTACAACGGACCGCCTGCGCGCGATTAATAAGTATACGAGGATGATACAGCAGGGAGGGGGGACGCAGACCCTATTCCCTAAAACCCTATTGTAACCCTAACCTTACACAACTTCCCCGATTGTATGCTTCATCCAACATGTTTACATAATACGAAAAACACTGCCAAGACTAATGACTACAACTGATGCGCCCGCGAACCCCCCTCTCCCTATTTCTCTGGGACTATAATCGCCTTTGATCGGCCCGTTTGTCGCACCTTGAAGCCCTTGATCAGAGCAACGAACACCCGTAGGCTGAGGGACACGAGCCCGGTGATGTTGGAGGTGCAGTGGTGGAGCAGCGCCGCGCACAGCTCGCCCCGTACAAGGGTGGCCGCGGCGGGCAGAGCGCGGAACCTAGGGCCTCCGTACGTCTGCAGGACCGACACGATCAGCTCCAGCGCCGCCGTCTGTGTTTGCATGTGTGGGCACGCGAGGAGTAGTGTTGGTTGATGTGTTCGCCGGTCGCGGTCGTAGTTTGGGGAAGCCCCCGCCCCAAAAAAAAATCGTGGTGGGTGGTGGAAAGGTGAAACCCGCGGAGGGGCAGAATTTTTGTTAGCTTTTTTGGCAAAAGGAAAGAGAAGAAATGAGCTAGGGGTCGGAGGGAGAAGATAGCTGACGAAAGAGCTCTGAAGAGAGAGAGAGAGAGAGAGAGAGCTAAGACAACAGGTATATATGTAAGCCTCCGAGCGTCAACCGTGGCTAGTGCAACAACGAACCAAGAATATACGCAAGAACGCTTGCAGGTAATACGGCAAGTGACTTCCTATGACGACAAAAAAAAAAAAAAGGTCTACCTTGCTTTCCAATATCACTCTCGACTCCTTCTCCCCGCCACCGCCGCCGCCGCCACCGCTTCCGCCCAGCTCCTCACTCAGCGTCCGCTCGTCGACTAGCGACCAGTCACACAGCTCGCTCAGCAGCATCAAAGCGTCCCGCTGCACGACCTGAGGTTTGTCAGCGTCGAGTTTTCGCGAGGAGAAGAAACAGGGGTGAGACCACGTATTGTTTTCTTCACGCACCTTGTCGCGACAAACAGCAGTGAACGGGTGATAAACGCGAGAGAAACAAGGAAAAAAAAAACCAGCGCGGACGGAGCATGGGGGAGCTGGGGGCGACGCAGTCTGAGAGACCCGAAGTACGTACCTTGGACGTGTTCGCATAATTCGACACGGTCGTTGAGTGGCGGCCCTCGCCAGTGGTATTGCTGGACCGGGAGTGTGTCTCAGTTTGTTCGTGGACATATGCACATCTCTTTTGGTAGAGCATGTAGGCAGACACGCCGTTCGAAAAACAGTGCCGCCGACAAATAACCGAACAAAAAAAAATCGCCAACAAACAGTCGGACGGTCAAGAACGTGCGCCGAGAGAAAGAACCCTCCCTCATACCATTTATCTTGTCTCTTTTCTCCTATCTTATCTCATCTCTTGAACTCTCACCGTCAGCTCGACGTTGTCTCCTCCCACCCGCAGCCTCGGGCTCCCACCCCCCCTCCTCCCGGCTCCCGCTTCTCTTCCCTTCCTTCGTCCCCCCGACCCTCCAGCTAGCGACACCTCGTCTAGGCGCCGCCCCCCCTCCCCTCCTTCGGACCGCTCCGGTTCCTCCTGCCTCCCG